CTATTAGATTTTTATAGATTTTTAAATACACTTAGCACATCAAATTAGCTAAATACTTTCAAATTTTGAAATGTAGATATGATACAAATTTTACAAACTACTCGAGAGTACTAGTCCTAATTATATTGCATAAATCCTAAGTTACTGATATAAATTGTGACTTTAAAGAGCAATTGCTAAGTCTAAATAAACCCTAAAAAAAGAAGCCTAATGTCTTTAAAACAAGATCTAAACGAGCTCTTAAACTCTAATCTCCAATCTTTGAATGAGATCCTATTTTGCCTTAGATAGTCTTTTTAATTGAAAGAGATCTGATTTTGACCTTGTCTCACAAATGGTCAATCCTTGGGTATCAATCTAACCTATCTTAGGAATTTTTTGGCTTAATCCTACCCTCAACTTAATTCTAGTACCAACCATGCTAATTATTTATTTCTTTTAATTTGATTTTACTAATTTATGGTCTTTCTAAGGTAATAAAAGAGTCTCTACATCCTAAAAGATAAAATTACTAACCAATCTTCAACCTACTAACTATTAAGACAAGAAAATAAACTAAGAGGCTTTTATAAAATCCATTTTTAAATATCTTGAATTATTATTGAATCAAGATTATTAGATATTTAATTAAAAATTTAATTTTTTTTTAATCCATTGCAATCTCGCTTTACAATGATGTGTGGTAAAAATTGCTCATATGTTCATTTCTAAATTCTCTAGTAATCTTTGGCAAAGGTTGCTCTCTCAAAATTCTACAATTTTTCTCATGATTAGCACATATCTTCAAAAATTGCACCGTTTTTGTTCCATCCTGATTCCTAATCCGAGCATATTTTCATCCATTTTCCATTACCTTTATTTCCATGTGAGTAACTATAATATAAGATTATCATAGAATGATATGATAAGTAGACATATCTTACACAAAGAAATTTTGCTCATCACTAACATCTCTTATTATAACTTTCAAATTTGAACATGCCCCATATAATTCTCTTCATGAATTATTTGCCGCTCAAATCATCACCTATACTCAATGTCAATAGGCCGTTTCTTCCTTTTATACAGATCTTTTGATACCAAATTGATTTCCAAACCATGATCAATTAATGCCACAATAGGTTCTTCTAAATTTTCTAACTTAATAAATATCTCCGTTGTTGCTCTTCTTGAATAACTATAAGAATAATAACTTGAAGTTTGGATTTCTTCTTCTTCTTCCATAATCCTTATACATTAAACATCTCTATATGCATAATGATTGTCTTCTTCATCTACCATCACTCTTATCCCATGTGCATTTGAAGCCATATTCTCATCCAAAATTTGTCATTTCTTCTTAATAATATCCATGATAATCTTATGAAATTTTTTCTTTGTAATCCTAAGAACTTCTCCCAATATAAATTCCACCTTGCCATTTAAAATGCGTTCTTATAAAATCTTCCTCAAATCCACTGTTGTCTTAATATCTAATTATAATTTATAAACATGAGTCTTTGCTTTTTATTTTTTACAATTTTCTTTTCTTTTGTAGAAATATTCTTTGTTATTTCTTCATACCACATGCAGCTATGTGTTTTTTCTCCCCTTGTAGTTTTTTTTGATGGCCTTTTATTATTTTCATCTCTCTTTTGTTTTTTTTCTATTAATACTTTGTATTGACTCCTTGTAACATATACATGCATAGATAGAATATCAACTAGATCATTCCAACTTGTGGTTTTTCAAATAGACTTGCTTGTATTAATTAATATATCTCTAGCAACCTTTCTATTTGCCACATATTTCATTGCATTTAGCCACAATGAACTTATATGATCTGATGCTTCAATGCTTATTCCCGCACAATCTCAAGTAAGTCCAATCCTATATATCTTTGCTTCCTTTGCGTGAACCATCAATGCTTTCATACCTCCATTACCAAAGTTTGTCTCCAATTTTTCTCCACTTTCTTTTAGGTGTATCATACCATCTTTGAAAAAAATATTTCCTTTACGTAGCACCTCTATAAAATCTTCACATTCTCTTCTTGAATGATCTACACTATCACACCACATGCACCTATGTACTACACCTTCTATCAATCCTAACCTTTATTTTGTTGATACTCTTGATGATTGATCCTTTTCTTTAAATTTTACAAATCTTTCATCTCTCATATAATTTCATCAATGTCCATTTCTTCTTTCTTTGATATAGCCATTGAAGGTTGAATCATAGATATAGAATTGATAGTAGGCATTTTTATCTAAGATGCTTGCAATGGCCTTTGAATGGATACCCTATTCTTTTTCTTTTTTCTTTTTATAAGCAATCCTAATGCCTCTTCTACTTCCTTTTAATTTGTTGTCAATCCTTCATCTTTTTCTTTATCTTCAAGTAAGATTTCTAACTTTTCTTGCAACTCTCTATCAATTGCTTGAAGAAAAAGATTCACTTTGCTTAGATCCAATAGTTGCATTTCTTTCTTTGATAAACAAGAATATTGCTTTTCAAACTCTTTTAATAATTCTGTTGCTAGAAGATCCTTCTTTAGCTTATTAATTTATTCAAAAAATGACTTCTTTGTGACCTTGTCACTATCTTCCAAGAAAAACACATCTTTCAATGCTTGAAAAAATTTCTCTTATGAACCTCCAAAATGTCCTATAAGAGACTTTATTTGATTTCTTATCTCTAATGCACAGGCTAATTCAAATAATTGAACCATTTCCCTTTCTAAAATATGCTTCAACTCCATTTTTTTTTTACATAACACTTTAAATATTTTATAATATACTTCCTTTTAAATTGATTGATCTTGTCCACAACCACTTGTAATGCTTTATTAGCCATATCTTCTTTGCGGTCTTTAACTTGTTACTATTACAAGAATAAGGTAAAAGCCTCAAACATGCTTATAAAATTGAAATCAAAATATATACTTTTTTCTCTATTAGTTCCATGATCTGTAGCTCCACTTGAAGCACCACCTATAGCTCTTATTTCAACTCCCTTGCCTTCTTTCTCTATAATTTAAATAATCTAAGAAAATCAAATACCTTCTACCGTAAGCCTTTCATGTAGAATTCACCAAATATGTCATATTATGTGAAGTCTTGTTCGAAAATGAATTGGAGACTTGACTATGGAAGATACAATAGAAATTGCTACAAAAAAAATCCTAACTATAATAGAATAATAAATAAATTCTAATTAAACCTTAATAATACTATATAAAATTTAATGAAATTCAAAATAAACCTTAAAGAAATTACAAGACAAACAATAAGAAATCTTAAAAGAGTTGAAAGAAAATCCACAATAAAACTTAAAAGAATCATCAAGAAATCCTAAAAAATATTAGAATAATCAAAAATATATCTTAAATAGATTTCAACCAAGTTCTAATTTAATCCTCATTGAAATCCTAATGGACTTCAATCAAACCTTAGAAAACTCTCAAATCCTAAGCCAAATCCTAGATAATTCTTAAACCCTAAATCAAACCCTAAAAAAATCCTCAATCTTTAATTAAATCCTAGACTCTAAACCAAATCCTAACCAAATCTTAACCAACTCAATCTAACCTTAGTATTGTTTACAAGCTCAATATCTATCAATTGAACTATTGATCTTACTTAAAAATTTACATACTTTTTAATAACTAAATTAGCAAGCATACAAAATTTGAAGATAATTGCACTTACCAAATGGAAGAAAAATCCTAAAATCCGCTAGAGTATTAGCCAACCTCCTACTCCAATCTAAATGTTGAACTTCCAACTCCAATATCTCCTTTTCAAATTTTTCAATTATTCTCAAATTTCACATATGTGTAGCAAATCAAGTATATTATCTTCAAACACAAATTTTATCCTAATCCAACTAGTAGATTGTTGAAGATCTTAGAAATCCTAACTATCTTTCAAAGTCCAATTTTTGAGACCTCAACCTAATTCAAATTCAATAACCTTCAATTCAACTATTCGATCAAGCTCAAACTTATAGCATATACTCCAAACAACTATTCTCATAAGTCATTAAAATTTGAACCATAGATCTACTAACAAACTCACAAAATTCTTCAAAATGTAATATCCTTCTTATTTTACAAATTTCAAAGTCACCCAAACCAACTCTCACTTTGCAAAGCTCTTGCAAAGTCATTACACACTCAAACCACTCAAAATCAATGCTTAAAGAAATCTTTTCAAGTCTATTCTCTAACTCCACTCTCTAATCTGCCAATGAAACTCCCAAGTTGCTGTAGGTGCCTGATTTTGTGCCTTGGGGTTTGATTTTGACCCAGGTTGATAACCAATCCTCTTTGGGATCAAATTTTGTCCTTTTTAGTTATTTTTTTGCTAAAAATCAACTTCTAACTTGCTTCTACGTATGCTCATATCCTTTGTTTTTCTAATCTACCTTGTTTTGCCTTATTTATGGCCTTACAAAGTAAATGGAAGCCTACTTTACAAAAAGGTAGCATTTACATTGTTAATTTTACTTTTTTTAGACTATAAATATGTATGTTTGTAACAGATGGTTAAAATAGGTGGATAAATTTAATAAAAACTTGGCTCTATTTTAAATTCTTCTATGTTTAAAGATATATATATATATATATATATACATGTATTAATTATTTAATTCGAATGGATATATTTTCTAATTGATAATAAAAAATATACCAAAATACCTTAATTTTTTTAAATAATTATCAAAATAAATATGATTTAATTTGATTCAATTCAATTAAATGCAATTGAAAATAAAATTAAAATTCATAAAAAATTAAAAAATCAAAATGGACGTATTCTTGCTTCATGTTTTACATGAATTCAGCGCAGAAGAAATGATACCGAAACATAAGTACTTCCTTGGTTATCAGGAGGTTATTGCCGTTGTACCCATACGAAATCCGGGTCTCAGTTTCAACACATATACCCGGAGAGTATCAAACATGGAGGATATCTTTCGTGGGAACGGGTGGTTCCCTCCCGGCGGTGAGACCTGCTTCCGGGGCAAGGTGGAAACCTGCGTCTCGCAGACCAGGTTGTAGTGTCTCGTCACAGCGAGAGAAGCAGAGAGTGAGTGATGCAAATGGATCGTGGCAGGGAGAGAGGCCGCGATGGCTACGTCCATAGCCACTTGCGTTCTGTTGCGGTACCAGTCAGGGATTCCAATAACTACCGCCACCGCGAAGAACACGACCGCCTGGAGGATTCCGACAGCGATTCCGAGTTACGTCGCACGCAGGATCCTTCGGAGTATCGTCGCCTCAAGCGGGAGAAGATGCGTCGCCAGTTTAAAAATTGCATTTGGAACGTTACCCCGAGCCCACCGCGGCACCGTGGCGGCGAGCCGGAGCGTGAGAGGAAGCGGGAGGAGGTTGGTGGGAGCGAGGGGGAAGACGAGGGTTTGCTGAGGAAGAGGGGGACAGGGCATCACAATGGAATGGATAGTAGTGGGGAAGGTGGGGATGAGAGCGACCGAGAGGTGGACAGGAAGCAGCGGAAGAAGTCGGTTGAGAAGGAGAAAGTTAGGGTTGAGGACGAAGGGGAGAAGTGGCAGAGGCATGGGAGGGCACATGGAAGGAAAGATATTAGGGTTAGTAAGAGTGATGACGATGGTGCTGATGATGATGAGGATAGGGGTGGATGGCATACGAAGAGGTCGCATGATCGGAAGGTTAGGGCTGATGAGAGTGAGGAAGAGAGAGAGAAAGATGCAAAGATGAGCGGTAAGGTGAAACGAAGAGGAAGTGTTGAAGAATGCGAAGAAGACAGGGAACATGACGAGAAGCGGAGGAGTAGAAGGTCACACCGAAATGGGAGCATTGATGAAAGTGAAGACGAGAGGGAGCAGCGTGGGAAGAGGAAGGATGGAAAGCGGACTGAGCGGAAGGTTGTTGCAGAAGAAAGTGAGTCCGATTCAGACGTGGACCGAAAGAGGAGACATAAGAAAATGAAGCATAGTAGGAGGGTTGAGGAAAGTGAGGAGGATTCGGATGTTGATCGAAAGAGGAGGCACAAGTCCAAAAAGCGTAGCAGTAGGTCTCATAAGCGTAGGGAGGCTTCGGACGACAGTCAATCGGATGACAAGGTGAGTAGAAGAAGTCGAAGAGTAAAATCTTCCAAAAGGAGACGTTCTGATGACAGCAGTGAGGAAGACTCTGATGTCGAGCGTAAGGAGCGTGCAAGGACGAAGCGGGGCAGTAGCAGAAGAAGCAGTGAGAGGCGATCGAAAGAATCGAGAAAGAAGTTGCGGAAGTTGGAGGATAGTTCGGAGGAGACTGAAGAAGAGGTCGATCTTAAATTGGGTCTCATGTCCAAGGAAGGGCTCAAACCATCAGGACCTCCACATTCAGATGGAGCAGCAGAGAGTTCTTCAGGAGGCTCCGACTCCGATGAAGCGGATGTAGAGGAGATTGGTGAGGAGGTCGCGAATCAAAATGAAGTTGACGAAGAGGCTTTTAAATTTAAGGAGTTGCTGGAAGCTCAACGGAAGGCTGCTGCAGGGGGTCTCGAAAACGAACCGATGATAGGGCCAGCTCCGGCACCAAGGGCTGAGGGTCACATTAGCTATGGTGGTGCATTGCGACCTGGAGAAGGAGATGCTATAGCTCAGTACGTACAACAAGGAAAACGTATTCCACGACGAGGAGAGGTGGGACTTTCAGCAGACGAGATTTCAACTTTTGAAGACTTAGGTTATGTCATGAGTGGAAGTCGGCATCAAAGAATGAATGCTATTCGTATTCGAAAGGAGAATCAGGTGTACAGTGCTGAAGATAAGCGTGCGCTGGCTATGTTCAATTACGAGGAGAAGGCAAAGCGGGAACATAAGGTGATGTCAGATTTGCAGCGTCTTGTGCAGCGTCACATTGGACAAGAGGTTGCTCCTAATCATGACCCGTTTGGAACGACGAAAGCTGACGAAGTTCCAAGTTGATTCATTCGTGGTGAAGTAGAGATGTTTAACAGTGAACGTAAGATTAGATCCCCTCTCTGGGACATAGGTCGCTCTGGCGTAGTATCCCGAACAAGTTTGATGCGCATTTTCTCGATTTTATAACTTGGACAATGTCGAGCAGGTTAAGTTGTAATCTATTTTTGAGAAATGAAAATACAGTACCTTCATGTAACATTTACGCCCCGCATCACATCCTTTTGGGATCGTATGTACTGAACATATGCTTGGGACATTTACGAGACTAGTGTGTGTTTTGGTCTCACTCGCAATTCAAACACGCAATTCATAGACACCTTCTGAAGGAGGAGCATTAGCAAGTTCTAACAACCCAAACCAGATTCCTCAAGTTTCAGATTCCAAAATTTCCTTGCTAAGTTTGATTGACTCACTATGTCGAAGCCCTCATGTCGTTGCAGATGAATATCAATCAATAGATTAAAAAAATTACCTCTTAATGTACATACCAATAGTTCTAAAACCGTAGAGAAATGAAAGGATTCACGTATTGATATAATGAGAAGTTACAATAGACATATTTTAGACAGGTGTGAGACATCCAACCTTCAGTTGCCCCTTCCACAATTTCAATGGATGCAAGTGCAATTCATATTGAGAGCAATGAGTATACGCCGTACGTTTGGTATCTATAAAGTGACTTCACTCTGGTTCGTGAATTATCTCATTCTCTTGACAGATTTCAACAGAAGCAAATCTACCACTTGGTTGTCATAGTTAAGATGCCCTACATCACTATCTGACATGGGATAATATGCTGTACACTAGAAAGAACCTCGTCTCTGCCGACAAACCTCATAGAGTTTCAAAAGCTGAGGTTCCTTAGCGGCCTGTGAGACCGGTCTTGCCGTCCCTCCGAACTGCTAGAGCCAGATTCAAATCCCATAGTTCGCACCTGATGGGCATTTCCACTTCATAGAATGGGTTCTTCAGAACATAATCCGTGTAAAGCTCATAGACAGTTTTCAGCAAGCTATCAATGCCCGGCGTTCCTGGTTCAGCGGCCACGAAGATTTTTTGTGCCTGCACCAGCAGTGATGGGAATAAGAAAATGTTTGACATGACCATTACACCAGCAACCTGCAAAATTAGAATCTCCAAGTGATAAATCCTCGCGCAACGCAACTGGAATAGGATAATCTGATGCACACAATGCAATTGATATAAAGGGTTACCGATGTCGAGCCACCGTTGTCTTCTGACACACTACTGATTTCCATAACAATTGTTCTGACCTTACTGTAACGGAGACTAAGTGCTGATGACCACGTTCATACCAGCGATATCCAGGAGATTTCATAACAAAGTCTCTTACCATACCTGTGAGGGCCTGGAAGCAATGAAGTTCGAAAGTATCGGCCTCTAAAACCTCGATCCCATTGCACCCATTGACTGGAGACAACTCCTTCGAAATTGCGTGCATGGAGTGCCACAGACTCGCGAGTCTCAAGCTGTCATTTGTGTCGAGACGGCCTTGCGTTCCATAATCCTGCACCATTCCATAATTCATGGCCTCTCAGCACCTACGAACAATGATCTCAAATCACAGCACCTAGTCTAAAAATTTATCTTTCAGGATATAATGGATTCCGTTAAGCACATCTTGATCCTGGAAAACACTACCCTATACTATCGAGATTCGAAGTTCAGAAACCCACAGCCGCATTTACAGAGACCCTGCCAAAGTGACACGCTCTATCAATAAATTATCACACTAAATAGCTCGGTCACACTCCAGTTAAAACAACACGGTCTATGATGGAAATACCAATGTAAGTAGCCAATTCCAATTTATTATACGCAGGAGAAAGCAGATTTTTCTTTTGTCTGTGATCACCACGACGAGTCTACATAGGATTTTTACTGTTTAACAACATTGTGGCCGGAGGTTGGCCATGAGTCAAGCTGGTTTCCTACACTGAAACTAAAACCCTACAAATTGGCAAAAGGCGCGAAGTATAAAAAGCGGCAAACCTTGTAGAAAATCAGCCCGCCAGACTTGTTGATGACGAAGAGGTTGAAGATGATAGCGGCCATAGCTGGTGTATGCCCTCCAAAGACATTGACAAACTGGGCTTTCCTCTCCTTAAGAAATCTGAGCTCCAAATCGATTTTGCCATGCCTGCCATACAACTGTGCATAGCTGCAGGGGATATAGCGGGATTTATAGGTTTCCGAATTAAAAGGAAGAAGGTGGGCCAGGTTGGGTGGCATCAGGGCAACGGGGCAACCCAGTTCCATTTACCGGTCCTAGTTGCTCCACCCGTCAGAGGCAGGAAGGCCTATAAAGTTTCTTCACTTGCAAGCACTGAAGCTCCATGGATCCCACTGTTAAGCCGTTTCCAGGCGGTTAAAGTCATTGCGAAGGATCTCGGAACATGAACTCTTTCCAGTAGTGATGTCAATCGGGTTACTTGCCTGTCTAGTCTTCGCAGTAGAGGACCTTTCAAGGTCAAGCACCGGTCCGACCATCTTTACTCTGTAGACTGCATTGCACACGCACTTCTGTTCCAAGCGGGTGCAATTCTGTGTATGATTTTGATCTGTAAAATTTTTTTAGGGTGGAGTTTGAAAGCTCCAATGTGACTGTAATTGTAACCCTTCAATTGAGAGTTAGGGTATGCAGTACCGAAGATAGCCAATTCAATGAGAAAGACTTTGGAAAGCTCTTTGAATTGGGTTTTGGGTTTGTTGGCAGTGAAAGGTAGGATTCGGAGTCTCTAATTGGATAATTACTTCGCGGGAGGCTGTGGAAGGGTTTTGGGTTTGTGGGGATCAAGGGGAGTGCGTAACATGGATGGCGGTGGAAGGTGCCAACAGAGTGAATTAGGGCGTTTTGGCACTGACCGGGAATGCAAGTGCGCATTTTGTACTGAAAGGCAGCTTGAGAGCCAGTTTGGTGAGTGTTCCAGGTGTGCTTTGGGATCGAATCGACAACCGTCCTCCTCTCCGGCCGCATCAGCTGTAAGTAGGCTTCAACACCATGCAGGAGCTAATTCAGTCAGTGTCATGACAAATTCGCCGTCCGGTGAAGGCGGTCGGTCTACTATGGCATGTACTTCTATCAAGGGCAATCAAATAGGTTTGTTCCATTTTCGTGTTCAGGCCAATTTGTTTTTTGAATACTGGATTGACAATCAGCATATCTTTAAAGGACTGACGATTTTGCAACTGATTGAAATGCGCCTAAAATTCGGGTACTAATCGGATCATTAATCTGAGCTGTGCAGGAATTTCTTTTTGTAGCTAGAACCACAAAAAAATCCTAGTTAATGAATTGAGCTGGTTTGTCCAAGCCATACAGAATTGGATAACCAACTTGCTTGCTCTCCTACTCATATCTTCTTTGGTACAGTAAATGGAGCTTGTGGATCCGTTCTCATACAAAAGGTTGTGCTCCTCAGATGTAGCCCCAAAGGCGTCGTCAATACATTGCAGGAGTCTTCTGAGTTTGTGTGTGGGGTATATTGGCGAACATCTGGAGGACTTGATTGATGACATAGACGACATTGCCCCCGCCTTCCCTTTTCATGTGAAGGTATGTGCCGGGTTGTAGTGGTTTAGAGCTGAAACGAAGCTGGTCTATCCCTGTTTTTTAGGAAAGTCAGAACATACACTTTTTCGTAGTCACCTGTGCGCCTGCATACCTCCGAGACTATTTCTGCACTGATCGTAGCAATTTTGTAATAAAATAAATTTTTATGTCTCCCTGACAATGCACGGAATTTGTTCTCGATTTTCTTCATTACCATTGCACTAGCCCTATATCAATTAACGGTGGTCCTCTTCTCTTTGAGCTCAATGTGTCTAGTTTAGCACCACAATTACAATAGGTCTCATTCACCGATAATTCCTCCCTTGAAATTCGTGAGCTCGTCCCGTAGTAGCACAATCCAAATGCAATGATTGGGACATTTTTAATGAGTAATGAATTCTAACGTTTAAAGTAATGAATCGAGGGTTTGTTTTTCGTTTAGGGTCTGTCGCGTGCATTTCCTTTTAGCATAGATACGACGTTTTTCTGAGTGGATGAAGTAGGTGAGATAGAAGTTTTAATTAGATGTTTCATTTCGCAGGGTAAATTGCTAGCGATTGCCCGAAGAAGGAACCTGCTATGTGATGAGCTCCTCACTGCTTTGGCAGACATTTCTTGGGAAATTCTTGACGTGTCAGGTTCAGATGTGACGGACTCTAGTTTAATTGCGGCAGCGCAAACGTGTCCAAGATTGCAAGACGTCGACATAAGGTGTGTGGAATTAAAATTTTGAAGTCCATCTTAGTGCAATTTGACTGGAACACTTCTTCACTCTTTGAGAACTCATATTAGGGTTTAGGGATGTGAATTGTTGAATTTCTCGTGTTTATGAGGGTTATAAAAGAGTGACAGGCACTTTAACTGGGTGCACGGTATTGTCCCCACATGCAGTCGATGCAATAAGCTGACCTGCGCTGCTGTTCGTGCTTTAGTCGAGCATTGTCCTAATCTAAGAACTTTGCGATACGGGTACGCAGCTTACTTCATCTTCCTCTGTCCTGTGGAATTAGCTTCTTTATATATGGTATTTGTGTTGTTTTGTTGATAACCTTTATTGTATATTATGTTTCATAACAAATCTTCCACCTGACTGTTGCTATTATTCCTTCAGTGGCACGCCTATGTCCGATGCTGCTGCTAGAAAATCAATCAGCTACATAGTGCCAAAACTAAATCGTAATGAGGAGGAAGATAGCTGGGAAGTGCTAGAGACCAAGGCTGTTGCCGAAGGCGCACAGACATTGAGATGGCTAGTTTGGGTAAGTCTTGCGCAATCCCTCTTTTCAGGCTTCTCTAGCGAGTCGAAACTGTATCTAAATTTGCTCCAGTTGGAGAATCTTGGTCGTGTCAACTGGAGTTGCTGGATCTCAGACCTGGTCATATGTACAGCCCGGTATCGACCCCATTTCAATGGAGCGTTTGAAGTCTGAATGTCCTCGGATTGTTATCAATCCAGTTTTCTCTTGGAAGTCTTACGGTATAATTCCACCAGCAGCGCTACGTGACGCGGTGTTAGACGAATCTTTCCTCGAGGACATCGACCCGAAAACGTGGGCAAATAAATCAAAGACTCCACCAAGATCAGAAAAAGTCCCACCTCGCGCCACTGACGAAGTCAAGAACGAGCTCTCAGTAGCAGAAAAGTTTCGGCTGGCGTTTGTTGCGAGAGACGAGCGTTTGGCTCCCAAGAGAGCCAAGAATGCGAGGCAGAACCAAAGACGTGCAGAGAAAGCTTGGTTGAACTCAGACACGGAGGCCAAGTCCATTGTGTGGGCAGGCATTGCCCAGAAGTCTCTCAAAAAGCTCGGATTGTGACCCACTTATCAGTTCCTGCTCTTGTATGTAATTTTTGGAGCAATTTTGCACACTTTCTAGCAAGGTGCCCAATTGATTCACTTGGTCGCTTTGTTAAATCATCCTGGCTTTGTCACCGTGGCTATGCGGTTCATTTTACTGTATTTCACCTCTCCAGTCTCAGAATAATGTGCCCTTAAAAGAGGAACCAATTGCCCTGGAATTATCAGCAGTGATCTCATTTTGAGATGTGTGTATCGAATGAGGAAAATAGAGAAGGATGAACATAGTACCTCGCCATTTTCGTACCTTTTTTTGCTGATTAGAAGAAACCGGGTTTGATACAACTGGATAACTAAAATGAGTTCCCTCTTCAGTTCAAACTAACTGATAGCTTTTTTGAGGTTTTACTTGGATCACTGGCATGACTCTGGAAGTGGTGCAAATACTTGCTACTTTGTTGACTGGTATATTCTAACTTTTTCCAGTGCTTTCATGGTGAGAAATCATATTGTTATTTTGTCTGATTCAAAACAACATTGTTGACAACTGATTTGCATATTGAAAATGAATACTCGCAGATTGTGTGCATCAAAGTCTTCAAGAGTAAGCAAAAAAAAGCCAAGAAAGGCTTTGAAACCATCTTTTCAACTTACACAAGTTAGATCTAAATTTCCAAAATGCCTTACATACTCTTTGTAAATACTAAAAAATAATTGGGTTGGAAGTGCAATCAGTTTGTCCCATAGTTTATCAAATTCATTAATTAGAAGCATATTCTCACAATGCTCTTTGTACAGCATCCTTCAAAGTTGCCTGTGGGACACATTCTCAACAGTTAAAGTATTTCAGTAAACCATGAAACCATTTAATGGGTTAAAATTTACAACAATCTCTTTTCATGATGAAATTAGTATTTTTAAAGCCTTCTGACAAGTTCTTATTTTTAGTTATAATATTTTTTGGATTCAATCAACAATTTATTTACATGTTAAAAATTGTCTTCTAAGGAACAAAAGCACTAGTTATTGTAAATGGGTGCCTTGCAAATTCCACTTTAAAAAAGTGCAAGTCAAGGATGTTTCCTAGTTCCCTCAGTTTTATTGTTGTTTGGGAAATATTTAAAGTCACTATTAATAACGCTATTATGTGCAAATGCATCATTAGTATCTTTTTCTATGGTGGCACTAAGCAACAAATCTTAAATTAATAAGCAATTGATTTTTCATTGATTGCAAGAAACATAAAAAATAAATCATGCTTAGTATATATTCTAAACAAAAACCTTCTTGGATTTAACAATGAAATTAGTCAAAATTGGTGGCATATTAGTGATATTATTCTGCAAGACTACCAGAGAAAAAAAAAATTTCAAGTGTGTAGCAATATGTATAATAATACAAACCAAAGCACAACATGGAAATAAAGACTAATGGTTATTCTTTAGGCTTTTAGAGGTACTCAACATTTGATTCCAAAAATGTACACATGATATGATGATATGTACAAAAAAACCCAGATATGAGATTAACTACATATGTTGGAATTTAAGAGAGACTAAATCAAAGAATATATTAGATTCCAAGTTATAGTTTTCTTGGAAGGATGTATGATTCTATATTTGGGCACATAAAGAGGTTATGTTTATGCAAATAATGTAGCGTAGAGGGATTGCAGCAAATTCATGGAGGGCCACCACTACCTTCAAAATAGTCTTTTTGCTTTTCGTGTATGTTTCTAAAGTAAGAGACAATCTTACAGAGTTTAGGGGTGCTTACAAGCATGTTGGATTTGAGAGAGGGCTACCACTATGGACTAGACACAAACCCAAGACACTGAAGATTGTGGAAATTGGATGTTACACAAAAAAATATGCTTGTGAACCTGTGTCGGAAGATGTCTAAAAAGAATAGTCTTTATATTGGAAGATATTTATACTCAAAAAATTAATTTGAGTATAAACAAATACAAAGGAACGTTAAGTGCTATAGAGTAAATAAACAACCAAATAATGACAAAATATTCCTTGCACAATGGGACAAATTGCAGATGCCAAAAGCTAGGTGAGTGTCACAAACAATATAAAAATTTATTAGAAATCAAGAAAACCACCTTATGACGTAATCACTCACAACAAAACAAAATATCAAAAACAAAATAGTTCTTCCCTAAGCTCTCTGGAAAGAGATGGCAACTATAATCAGAAATGTGTGAGATCAACAACAGCTACAGCATCCATTCAGATGGCTAGCAATGGTAACCAAATCAAAGAAATAGGCTTCGAAGCATGAGGTAAACTTTGCTCAACTCCTGTTTGAATTTAAAAGTACTCATGACATGTTCCTTTCTTACGAGCAATAGTGCGTTGGAGAAATCGTGGAAGATGTATACTTTCAAATATTTGGACAAAGTATCGTAACTACAGCTTTTCAACTCACATCCTAGATAGTGTCATATCCTTGCACGAACGACTGCATTCTCAACTAGAAAGTGGCTTGTACTACGGGATGTAGTTCGTACAAGGAAAGTCCAAATGTCTACTGCAAAAGGAAATTGCCAACGCACCTTGCACTGATGCTAGAGTGGCTAAATATGTATGTACACGTTCCCTGTCAATTAATCGGAACAGCTCTCTTATCCAAAACGTGAAGAATAATTGGAAATCGCGTGACAACTGTAATAACAAGCTTCGAGAGAATCTGATGTGGAATGAGAGGAAGGTGAAGACGTAAAAATCTTACAAATAACCGATTGAATCAAGCCGCAAATGAATACTAAGCGAAAGTCGCAGCAAGGGCTTGTTCCAATCTACTGTCTGCAGTCACTCTAGAAAACAGCCGCCATAGCACGATTTCGGCTTTTTACTCCTGGGATAGACAACCTCCCTGCAAATAGAGAAACTACGGTCAGCATGTTTATTCATATAGCGTTGTCAATACCCATACATGCCAATCTACGCATGGCGATTGCCTCCACGCGACTACCAAAACTACCGAATCCGGAATAAATCTTCCAAAATTGGATACAATAGTGTGAAAATAGGATTGCACCTTGATCACGTATTCATACCTATAAGCGGCATCTAGCTCTCGTTCGTCTGCACAGTTGTATCCCAACAGGTACGCGCGTCCTGCACATCCAAACATAATCTTTCGACATCAACTACAAATGACATTTGAAAAGATAAGGTACATGTAAGCCCGCAAAGGACATCAATACGCCAAAGCTTAGAAATCTTCCATGTTGAACTCAATCAGTTATACAGACCAACCATGCTTTGTTGTTCCCAAATCTCTAAAGCATAAATGATGAAATGCAAGATTTGTCTAATTACCCAGGCGACCCGAGCCCAAGAAAGGCTCCCCTTCATCTGCTCCTGCGTTAGCATCAGCCTGTTGCTGCCCTTGTTGCTGCCCCTGTGACATTCAGTATCAGTAAATAACATTCGATGAGCGCCATCATAAACTTGAAAAGCTCAATATTAGCTGGATAAGTATAATCAAACTTTCCTCGATCGATGCCAAGAATTTTGGAAAATACTTACAAATTCTTCTGCATAGTTTTCCTCAGAGGGCGAGAGCCAACGATCAAAACAGCGACCAGATACAGTGCACACAAGAAGCTCATTGGAGGGATCCAGGAGAGTTTCTTTACAAGTGTCATCACATACTGCAACAAGAAGAGGAAAAAAAATTATACTTTCCCAGTAAGATACTGCACCAAAATATTATAAAATTCACCAACACTACCCTCACACAGCATTCCTCAAAATGTACAAGTTCAAATGAAGTTCGACGCAAGTTGTGAAACCAAGGGAGATAGACATGGATTACCATGAGCTCGTCCAGTCTTCTCACACAAAAAGACATCCCCAATTTGATGGTAGGAGCAGCTCCTACCGGAGCACCCATGATCACCAACATATACATCTGGCAGACTATATCTTCGTCTCCAGGCCGTAATCTGATCGGCTACAGATGTGTCCACCATTAACAGGTCATCATATACCTGCACGACCAAACAAGTAATATTAAGAAATATAGCGTTGAGCTTTTAGTGCAACACAGCACATTGTCTCAGTCAATGCAGCATGTTGCATGCATACGGAGATAAGAATCTGATCTACTCCTCATGTGTTGGACTGTAGACAGGTCTATTACACATGTCTACCAAGTTTTAACCTAACCGAGTTTATCAACGACCCAGCCATCCAGAGAATTTCAAGAGTGGAGAATCCACTATGGATCCCATGAAGTTTATCGCCATACAAAAAACGGATTCAAAGCATTAACAAACTATGTCTAACGACGTCAAGTGAATACCATCACAATCACAATGCAGCATTTGAAGCACATACAGTAATTTACCTGGGATTTCAGAGGGGCCTGGCTTCGTTTAGCAATCTGCATCTGGATGAATAACTCACGGAATTCTAAAGGTGTATTTCGTACGAACTCCGCCATATCTGCATGATCACGCTGTTCAAATCCAACCAACAGTCAAAGTTAGCGTTTGATCACGTTACATTTGATTTGTATCATCTAGAGAAAAGTCATACATCATTGCCAATCACGAACCTAAATAATATAAACGAATGCAGACAAGTCCTTGAGGAGAAGGCAAGTAAATAAGATGTACAAAAGCCATTGCGCAAAAAATGCATAATTGAGCTGTACTCAATGACTAACTCCAGTTAAAGGATTGTAGAAAGTACGATGTGACATGATTATCACATGCTTATGTCTATACTAAAACACAGACAAACAGAAACATCACACTCACTTCGAAGTAAAGTTTCTTCCATGCGCTTCCATGGGGTTCCTTGCGACCATTTGGTTTAGTAAAAGGACCCCATCTAAGACAGTACCTGCAAAAGAAGGCAAATTTGATAAATAAGTACCAGCTAAGTTTGATGAGCAAAGACTTGGTTCACTACTTAATCGTCGCGTTTCTGTGATAGCACCTCTAAACTTCACATGCTTGAATTGTCATTTCTGCTTTCAACAGTTACTACACGCCCTCTGTTAATTAAGTTGAAGTACCCAAGTCACTGTAGAAATTCTCCAAGGCACAATTCAGATACGAGAAATAGTGCCAAAATAGCAGAGCACTACAACCAAGGCAAATAGCGAGTTCATGCAACAGTAGCCAATAGACGATAATTCAAGACAGCATTGAACAAAGTAACGCACAGTTTGCGCCAGAGCCTCTCGTCAGAACCAGCACCCCGAAGAAAGCGGCAAACACTTGTACAACTTGAAAGATCCTGAAATAAAATTTGCATCAGATCATCACGAAAAGACGCATTAAGAGCCCAAGCCCGGTGAAAACCTGCACTTTTCTATGTACAACTGAGAAAACAACAGAAACGCACATGGCACACAATACTCAAATAATACGACACACAACGTCACTTCTGGGAACGCGATGTACCTCTGGAGACAGAAATCGCAATATGTTCTGAAAAATTTCTGGCGGAACCTTGCCGAGGCTTCCGGTCTGAATGCTGAGTTGCAACCCTTCTTTCGGATTTACCTACCCAGATAAAAAAAACACAACATAAACGTCCTGCGAATAAACAAAAACTTCTGGATAACTTATCATATAATGAACCAGGTGTATCAGGCTAGATCAACACCTCCAGCAAACCGCCCACTCAGGGGCAACCGCTCAAACACAAACACCACCCAGCACTCTACTAGGGGCACAAGAGAGCAGTACCGAATTAACCTGTTTCTGGGACAGCACAGGCTCCAGCTTGAGGGGCAGGCAGAGAAATCAGCCGATGAACGATATCTGGAAGCCAGGTCTAGCATCCAGCACCATATCAATGGTGGTCAAGGTTCTTAAATTCTCCGAATACACATCAGATACTTCTAAACTACGCACAGATACCACGAATTCCTATCTTCGGAACAAAACATGTGACTTGTTCCGCAATGAAGTGTACAAACGTTGTGAGGAAGTTCGCTAAAGATTAGTTTGTGACTACCAATGTCTTCCTATGATGTAGTAACGCACTAATTAGTACGAAAAACACTCTCGGTATCACAAAGCACACAGAATGCCTATGTCACTCGAGAATTACGCAGTTCATGTCGATGGAGATCATTAAACATGACTATTCACGTGGACCCAAATGAAACACGGGAAAACTGCTACAGATCATCTCGATCGAGATGATTAAATTATTATGAACGGTGTAGGCATATATTCATAATAATTTAACTTCCAAAACGGAACAATGCGTACACCGACGAAATGGTTACACGTAATTTTTTAAAACTTGTAACGACATTCTTCACGACATTAGGAGTCCTCATGTCCCAACATGAAAATCTTGAACATCTCATGAATAAATGTTTCGTAATTTTAACGTAATTATAGCTCATGAAAATGCCAGAAAAGAAAAAGGAAATACTCATTCTAAACTAAGCAGATAGACACAAAATATAAATTGTAAATACCAGAAAATTCATCCAGTTCCTCTTTTAAAAAAAGTTAAGTCATGTATTTGTAGAATAAATTTTAGACGTGACACACTCGACTCAAAATAAGTTCCATTCTATATACTTTGGCAAAACAACCTATCAACAAGCCATCACAAAAGCATGCGAAGTATATTCAAAGTAATTACGTCACAACAAGGTCGATCCAAAAGCAAAAGAAAATCGAGCCAAGATAATACCCCTAACACCGCAATAGCTTCTTCATCATCCGAACCACCAGCCTCCGCTCCCGAGCGCGGTGCGTCATCGACGTCACCACCTTCCTCCTCTCCCAACACCTCAGACTCGAGAAAAGCGCAGAGTGAAGCGTCGTCCTCGTACTCCCCGTCGCTGCTAGCGCCGTCGAGGTCCTGGGAGGGATCCATGCGTACAGCCGTAGGCACAACACACCGAAAACACGAGCCAAAGAACGCGAACCTAGGGTTTCCTCAACAGCATTCCGCCATAGCCAGATGCAAGACCCAGAGGACGCCAGAGCTCCAAACCCCAAAGCGCTCGCGAGAACCGTGGATGACTGGGAGTTTATGTTTAAGAACGTGTGAGACCCGGATAGGGGCAGGTACCTCTGTCCTGTTGTGTTATCGGTAGCAGTTTCCGTCCAGGTCACAACTTCGTCGAACGAAAAACTGGGTCCCAAGTTTCGTTGCACATGCTTTTGGAGGAGTGGTCTCAATGAAACTTTTACTTTTCCAAAGGGGTACCACGCAGGAGAAACTTGTTGGGTAGTTCTTCATGGAAACGTGCTACTAAAACTTGATTTTTAAATAGAGATATATGTGTATATAGAGAGGGCAAGAAAAAAAAAGAAAGATATACGAAATATTGATGTGAATGTATTTTGAAGTTATACAAATCATTTATATTCTATTATTTTCATTTCTATTTTTTATTTAATTTAAAAATATATTTAATCTTTTAAGATCTATTTAAAATATCAAATTAAAAAATTTGAAGATGTATTTGATATAATTTTAACTTCATTAAAATATTCTTGATTTATCAATTATCTAATCTATCAATATGTGTGGTTGGATTGCTTAATATTGTCTCTTTCTTGATATGGTGCTAAGCAAGTGAGAAGTAGTTCATAGACTTGCACAATGCAATCCACAATGATTGGTATCTTGTTAGTTGGTGGTTGCATGATTTTGTAGACAAGAGAGCATTCAAACCTTCAACTAAGTCGTGTCATGTAGTAACATGATCATTAAGTGAAAGAAAAAAAAAAAATTATTATAAAAAAGCCTAATTAAAAAGATATAATTTAATGACTTTGTAAGAGATTTGCAAAATCACAGTTATTTTAAATGAATTTGGTTTTTGTAAAATAAAATAAGATTGATATTTTGGATAATTTCATGAATTTTGTAATAAATCTATAAATAAAAATTTGTGGATTTGTGAGTATAATTATTTTAAATGTATGCTATAAATTTAATCTTAATTGAATGGTTAAACTAAATTTTATTAAAGTTCAAGTGAATTGAGGTTTCAAAAATTGGAGTTAGAGGGTTAATAAGAATTTCTAAGATTTTTAATAATCTACTAATTGGATTAAAATTAAAATTATTAATATAAATAATAGATTTAATTTCTATTATTTGTGTGAATTTTGAGAGCAATTTAATGGTTTAAAAGGAAATATTGGAAATAAGAGCTTGGCATCAAGGTTAGAAAAGATGATTTTCCAACACCTAAATGGCTAATCTTATATTTTTCTTAATTTGTAAGTGCAATTGATTTCATTTTTTTATACTTATTTTCAATTGAATTTCTAAAAAGTATAAATTTTATAAATCAATATCAATAATTTGATTACTAGTTATTGAAACTTCAATCTATAAAAGGATTTATTAAGAGTTTATTTAGGATTTAGGATTTCATTAGATTCAATCTAGGATTTAAGATTTATTTAGGATTTATTTAGGATTTGTTAGAGCTTGGTTAAAATTTGTTCGGATTTCATTAGGATTTGGTTAGAATTCAATTAAGATTTTTATTTTTATTTAGTTTTTAGATTTTAGATTTTATATATATATATATATATATATATATATACATATTTAAGATTAATTTATAATTTTTTTTATAAGTTCATTAGAATTTTTGGGGGTTTAATTAAATATTGATTAATATTATTTCAATTTAATTGGAGTTTGTTTAGAATTCTATTAGAATTATTACTGTCTTCTTATTGTAATTTCTATTTTATCTTCCATAGCCACATGTTTGGTGCATTCTTTAATAAACTTCACAAAATATGACAACAGATAGCACATTAAAGCTCCAATAATTTCAAGCTCGTCCAAATTATTTAAACCTCGAAAGCTATCAAAGACAAGAACATGATAAAAACAAATAAACAAGTGAGACTTCTCTCAAAAAAAAGATGAAAAAATAGAAATAACTTGATATGTATATTAAGAAAGAAATTGGAATGGCTATTGCCAAAAGCCAAGAAAACTAGAGACCCTTGAAACTAGACTAGAAGCGAGAAAGAAATTCACAATAGTGAAGAAGGCTTCACTCTTGTCTCTATATATACTATTTAACTAGGGGCTACGTGGCGATGTTCTATAGGACCTCCAATATGTATTGACTTTATAGGATACATGCTTTGACTTACAAGGTAAGTTTTTCTATGTGTGGGCCACATAGTTAGCTTGGTCTTCAAGCTAACAACATGTGTTGCACATGGCCAACTTGTAGAGCACGTTTCTAATCCAAAAAGTCAATTAAAGACACTTATAAAGTCAAAGCATCGTCTATGAAGCTTCTAAGAAGCTTCCATAGCAAATACTATAGAATTAACTTACTTTTACCTACTTTTACATACTTCTATCTATTTATACATGTAATTATTGGCTTACATGCATATGTCCATGACATTACCAGAGTGGGAAGACCACCCAGTTATTTGATCATTGTTGAGGCCTTCATAACTTCCTTCAAATAAGATATTTGAAACACCATCAAGAGTTGTTTCTACCTCTAGTAAAATCACCAAACATTGGGAGTCCCTTGCGGGGTTGTGATACTAAACGTGTTATATCTCATCATCTATTTGAGGAAGAACATGTTATTCTTCAAGATCTTCATCTCGATTGCATCATCTTGAAGGTTGTGACAATTGTAATGTCTCGTCGGGTAGGTCAACAAACGAAGGCTCTTGAGTCGAATCTGCTGGTTGTTGATTCTCCATCTCTTCACCATCACAACTACAAAGAAGCTACAAACAAGGATTGAAAGTAGAACGTTCTCTTGTTTAGATCTTGTTTCTTTTATAAAGAAGATTTTCATCTTAATTTTGATGGATGTCATCAATGAAAAGCTTCCACTACCTTTGCTGCATTTACAAGATTCTTTATTGACTCCCATGTGCATTCACTAATATCATATCCATGCCAATGAACAAGATATTCCAATTTATTTTGGCACTGCCTTGAATCTAAGACTTCTTTACTTCAAACTCTTCATTATTGTCCACTTCTAAAGGAGCTTCTCTTCTTCTTGGTATGTCCACTGTCTTGCATGGTTCAAGAAAAAATACGTGGAATATTGGATGGATTTTCATTGACTCTGATAGATATAAATGATATGCAACTGGATTGATTTAAGGTGAAAAATAAAAAATGGTCCAAGCCTTTGATAGTCCAACTTATCACAAAGACGAGTGGTTTTGATATTGCGATGAAGTAACCATATCTTATCACCTATGTGGAATGGTGGTTGTTCCTTTCGATAGACATCCGCATTGACCTTTTAATGTTCTTGAGTTTCTTTTAACTATGCCTTGTTCGTTGCATGTAGCTTTGACAAATGAATTGCCAAATCTTTTGCAATAGGATTATCAACTTTTGAAAAGTCAAAAATATCACGTCATCGATGGTAACCATAATTGGCAAAGAAAGGTGTTTGTTTTGTAGAAGAATGTACCGTGTTATTGTAAGCAAACTCTGCCAATGACAAAAGAGTTGTCTAATCATCTTGTTGGTAGTTAATGGTACATCTTAAATACTACTCCAAAACTTGATTAACCCGCTCCATTTGTCCATAAGTTTGAGGATGGAATGCCAAAGATAGTTTTATATCCACTTTTAGAATCTTAAAAAAAGTCTGCCAAAATCTTGATACAAATTGAGTTCTCTTATTTGATATAATATCCTTGGATAATCCATGATAGCAATAGATATTGTTGACAAGGAAAGAGCTTAGCTGTTTCTTCACTTGTGATGGATTTTGTACATGGTGCAAAATGTGCCATCTTGATAAAACGATCTACTATCATGAATATAGATTCATAAGAAGCTGAGATTGGAAGATCCATGATGAAATCCATAGAAACAAAAGACCATGGTTGTTTTGGAATGGGTAATGGCTGAAGAAGTCCATAAGGTTGATGACAAGGGATTTTTAATCTTGAGCAAACATCACAAGATAGTACAAAATCTTTGAGTGCTTTCCACATTTGAGGCCACCAAAAGTCCCTAGATATTAGTATCAAAGTTTTATTATATCCAAAATATCCTACTGCTAGAAAGTCATGACGAGCTTAAAAAATACGTAATTAAGCTTCACCTTCTGGAACATATAGGTGTCCCTCAAAATATAGTAGATTCTTCTTGAATTCAAACTTAAAAGTATCATGAGACTTTAAAGGATTTTCCTTAATATCACGAATAAGAGGATCCGAAGGCATACTTGACTGAACTTGCTTAATGAAAGTTGAATCAAAAATTAGTGTTGATTTCATTGCTCGAAGATAAAGATGCTCTTTCTTCAAGAGAATTGTCCATTGTTGATCGAAAGCAGCATCTCCTTTCTTTGATACAAGGTAAGATCATCTAGAGAGTGCATCTGACAAACCTTGTTATTTTTCTAGTCCATAAGTGAACTTGAATTCGAATCTTAACAAAGACATACTCTAATGGGCTTGGCGATGATTCAAAATACGTGCTAACATAAAATATTCAAGATTCTTGTGATCCGTATATATTGTAATTGGGCTAAAAGTACCTTCTACATAATGGCGCCATTCTTCAAACAAATCCACAATTACAAGAAGTTCTTTGTCAAAGATCTCGTAGTTGATCTCGGCTGCTGAAAATTTTTTAGAATGAAAAGCTATTAGATGAAGTTTATTATCTGTTCCCATTTATGATAATACGACACCCAAAGCAAAGTCTGATGTGTTTGTTTCCATAAAAAATGGCTTAAAAAAATCGACACAATATAAGATTGGTGCTGAAATAAAGGTTGTGCTCATAGTTTCAAATGCTACTTCTACTTCTTGATTCCATAGAAGTTTGTCTTTACAAGTCAAACGTGTAAGTAGAGATGCAACTTCAAAAAAGTCTTTGATGAAGATCTGATAGTAGTTGGTAAATCCCAAAAAGTATTGGACATCTCTTACCATTTTTGGAATCTTCTAATCCATAATAGTTTGAACTTTCTTAAGATCCATCATAAGTCTATCATTTGAAATGATGTATCTTAAGAAGTTGACTTGAGTAGTGTAAAATGTACACTTTTCTATCTTGGCATAGAGTCTCACATCTCTTAGTTTTTGTAATACATGATAAATATGAAGTTCATGTTCTTTTATGTTCTTAGAATAGATTAAGATGTCGTCTAGGTAACAGACAACAAAATCATCTAAAACCTCCCGAAAGACATCATTTATTAGATGTTGGAATACTACTAGTACATTTGTAACTCTAAAAGGCATGACGTTGTATTCGAAATGTCCATACCTTGTTCAAAACACAGTCTTCCATTCATCTCCTTCTTTGATGCATACTAGATTGTATGCTCCTCATAGATCTATTTTTGTATAGATCTTAGCTTAATTCAATTGATCAAGGAGTCCAGATATCAAAGGTAGCAGGTACCTATTCTTGATGGTGATTTTGTTGAGTCCTTGATAATCGACACACATCTGCAATCATCTATCTTTTTTCTTCACAAATAAAATTAGAGCTCTTGCTTGAGATTTGAAATAGCGTAAGAAGTTCTTGGCCAAATTCTCTTTAATATACTCCTTGAGTTCAGCCAATTCATTTTGAGATAATTTATAAATTGGTCCAAATGGCAGTTGTGCTCCTTCTTGAAGGTCAATTGAGCAGTCATAGGAACGATGTTCTAGAAGATTATCCACATTCTTCTTCTCAAATATATCTTAAAAATCTTGATATTGGCTTGAAATGCCACTTGAAGTCTTTCCACCAGTAGAAACAGGTGTGGCATAAATGACATAAGGTGATCCTTCTTTTGCAGCATGCAAGAAAGCTCTTGCATCTACAAATATAGGTTTAATTATACTAGACTTATGACTTTCTACGTGATTAACTACACTCTTAGTTATACTTTCAAAAAAGTTAAGACTACGAGAACTCTAATCTATTTTAGGATTATTCTTTTTTAGCCATGATAAACCTAAAATAACTAGATTAGAAGGAGATCTAATGATATTAAATATTACAAAGCTACTATGACCATTAGTTGTTATTTCTATAGAAAGGATTTTATGAGTAACATCTTCTAAAGACAACGGACGACCATCTATGACTTCTATATGAACAGGTTTAGTTTTCCTCACTAAAAATATGTTATGTCTTTTAGCAAATTCTTCATTTAAGAAACATGCTAAGGCTTGTGAATCTAGCAAGGCAGAGGCTTTGTGATGTTTAGGTCTTAGAATAATATTTATCGTAAAATATGGAGAGTGTTCTAAGGAGAGGATAGGACCTTTATTAGGCGTTGTACAAGGTTCCAGCCGCACAATCCCTATTGTAGTTGGACAAATTTGTTTTCTGATATGCTATCTTCTTTGATCGCCGTACTCCTCATTTTATGGTTGCATCGCTTCTTTGGGCAATATTGAGCAATGTGCTTAGGTTTTCTAAAATATAAACACAATCCTTCTTGACAACGATGAATTTTTTCTGGCTCAGTAAGAGGTTTGAAACGTACCGCATCAATTTGCATATCCTCTACTTCTAAATGTATGTGTTGAAGAGATGTTGGTGTTGCCATTGAATTATAGTAGCGTTGAGGTCCACTTATACGGTTCTCAGATCAAAATTCAAAAAGATGATTGTTGCACTTCACAACAAAGTCAATTACTTGATTCAATGTTTGAGGATCAGGTAAGTTGAGCATTAATTTTTTTACCTCATATTGTAATCCATAGAGAAATTGGCTAATAAGTGCAACATCATTCCACTTGATATCAATTGCAAGTTGTCAAAATTATGAAGCATACAACCTTACTGATTGATTGCTTTGTTAAAAAATATGGATCTTATTGGTTGCAACACGAATTGCATCATGTTCTCCATACATGAATCAAAACTCCGCCAAAAAAGCCTCTAGATTATCTAATATTAGATCTCGTCATTCAAGAAAAGATAAAATCTATGATAATGCTGAACCTGAAAGAAGCATACCAATGAATCTAACTTGCGATCCTGGAGTTGGATAGCTTTGGAGTTGAAGTTCAATCACAAGTTGTACTTGATTGATAAATCTTCTAAACTTTGATCTGGTGCCATCAAACTTCTCGAGTAGGGCAATTCTTAGTTCTCTAACACTGGAAGGACATTCCACCATAGGAGAAGGGACATGATTTGGTGCAGATGTTGAAGCAACTCCAATCATTTATATATCTTCACTTCTTGCCAATCTTGTTGCTCCTTGTGGTAGAAAATTGAGTTGATGCATCGTAAGCAGTAACTCCCTCAATTGCTCTTGCATTTGTGCCATTGCACTCTTCATTAAAGCAAGTTCTGCCATGATAACACTTAGAAAAGAGAAGATGTCTAATATCGCTAAAGACAAATAGAAGAGAGGACTTGAGAACAAAGAAAATACTAAAGACAATATCAGTTTAGAAGAAGGTAATCCGTAACTTCTAATATGCTTATGTCTTATCAAGAAAAAGGGGTAATCCACTCTTAATCAAGATTAGACAAAGCTGTGATATTGTAAGTGCACTCTTGTCAATCTGTCAAGGACAAGAACATGATAAAAACAAATAAACAAGTGAAACTTCTTTCAAAGAAAGATGACAAAATAGAAATAACTTGATATGTATATTAAGAAAGAAATTGGAATGGCTATTGCCAAAAGCCAAGAAAACTAGAGATCCTTGAAACTAGACTAGAAGCGAGAAGGAATTGACAAGAGTGAAGAAGGCTTCACTCTTGTCTCTGTATATACTATCTAACTAGGAGCTATGTGGCGATGTTCTATACAACCTCCAATATGTGTTGACTTTGTACGACACATGCCTTGATTTACAATGCAATTTTTTCTACGTGTGGGCCACATAATTAGCTTGGTCTTCAAGCTAACAACATGTGTGGCATATGGCCAACTTTTAGAGCACGTTTCTAATCCAAAAAGTCAATTAAAGACACTTATAAAGTCAAAGCAGTGTCTATGAGGCTTCTAGGAAGCTTCTTTATGAAATATTATAGAATTAATTTATTTTTATCTACTTTTACATACTTCTACCTATTTATACATGTAATTACTCGCTTACATGCATATGTCTGTGACAAAAGTGGAGCAAAGGTCAATTATATCTAAGTTTATAACAAGTTCAATTCTACATTATGTGTGCATATTAAGTGCATATTCTATCACCACACCTCCATCTCTAGCAAAATAGTGATATAACATTGAGTAGAAAAAAGAATTTATTAGGTTAATTATAAGATTAAGTTTAAATTTTTAAAACAAAATTTTTAACACGCAATGATGAGAGCACAATCTTACAGAAATTCTATGAAGATTTGACTTTACAAGTGTTTATAAGTAATTAGTAGATTGAAAACTTAGCCAAAAAGTTTTTTACATGTTGCAAATGTTAATCACTTATTTTACAAGTTGGCCACTTGTGATACAAAGTAGCCATGTGATATACATGTGGAAAACTTACCTTGTAAGTTAGACACTTCAAAAGTGTCACATAAAAATTAAATATATTAGTTAAGAAAGAAAAACAAAAAAAAACAAAAACAAACAAAAACAAACAAGCAAACATAAAAACTTCAAATACAACATCTATGAAGGACAATTATTTCGAATTAGAGAAATTTAATCCAAAATTAAAAAACAGAAATAAAAGAAATTGAAATCACAATTAACATAAAACATACATCATAATAAAATAAAAAGAAACTAGAGATTCTTGAACCAAATAAATACAATAAATAAAATAACTTGTAGTTTAAGAAAACATATACATAAAATATACTATAAAATATTATAAATAAATAAATTATATATATATATATATATATATATTCAAATCCAACATCCAAACTATTCAATAAATGCTATATGCAATGGAGATGATTAATAATCCAACTCACAATAATAGATTCACTATTACCTAGCCAAAATATGAGAATGCCATGATGCTTGTAATTGATGAAATTGATGAGATTGCTTAGAAGCTCATACATAGCATCCTCATTGATGATAGTGGTGTTGCTGGTATGTAAAAGTTAAAATATATACAAAACACAAATACAAAAAAAATTCCAAAACGAGTTTAATTGGCCATTCTATTTGTCATTATACGTAAAAAGAAGTTTTATTTTTAAAGATATACCAAGATATCCAAACTTTGTATTTGAAATACATCCTTTGTGGCATCAAAAAAATCTATAATTAATGTAAAATTTTAAAAGAAATTAAACAAATAATTAATTTTTGTGTTTCCAAACTGCATATAAAGAAACTTGTGTAAAAATTACTTTGAAGTTAGGAGATATTATTTAAAATATTTCCATGTAAAAAAAATATTCAATAACTAATAGTTAAAAATAGGTTCATTCACATTAAAAATGTGCATCTCAGAGTTTTTACTCTTGATACAATTCTACATTTTCGGCATTGGACAGACGACGAAAATTCTTAAAGCTGGAAATCTGTTCACAAATGATTTTTAAAATTTTAGAAGCAAAATAATTTGAATAAATTAAAAGCAAGCAGGTTTAATACCATGGTAAGATTACTTGAAAATTTGTTTCAATCTGACTTGATTTTTAAAGAGAGCGAGAACCATCTATACAACTAGAATGCAAACAGCCATTTAGATATCAAAAGTAATCAACAGGCATTATTATTTTAACACAAAAGCCAGATCAGGCTATATAGAGAACAATGAGAGCTTCCGAAGCTCCATTCATGGCATGGAGAAGTTAAACTATAATTTCTGTATACATATTCACAATAATAATTCCAGTTATTAAACCTGATTCTCGTTAGGCCCGGAACCTGTTAATATTCCACAAGAACGTCAGGCAATTGCAAATTGAATGTCCTCATGTTGAATGTCATGATGAGAAGAATTTTACGATGTAACCCTGAGCACATTCTACAAAATTGAATGAAAAATCTTACATGATCAGGTCAGAGACTCTGAATCACGACCATGCCTCAACTACGTATTGACCTCTGCGCTCCAGATCTCTCAAATATTTGGTTGCTTTCTCCTGAGGCCAACCAGTTTCCTTCGCAAGTACAGTCTCAAAAGCTGCCATCACATCGGCTGGCATCTTGTTTGCAGATCCCGCAACATATATCACTGCTCCTGACTGAATGAACTGCATCACTTTCTTTCCCTGAAAAAATAGAAATTCATTTCATTGCACACAAAACACTAACGTGGTCTCTATCACAGGCATCAAGGACAAATTATACGTGTTTGACTACAGAACTGTCCGCCAGAAATGTCAGAGACGTAAGAAGAATTGGGTAAATGGTACCTGCTCACGTATCTTATGCTGCACATACACTTTCTCTGGTTGATCTCTAGAAAAGGCAACAAAAAAGTCTCCACCCACATCCGGTGATAAAACATTTTTGCCTTGAGACCATGCTGACCAGTCAGATTCGTATAAGAAATCCTTTGCCTGCATCCGACAGCCAAAAAAGAACAGAACTGGCGCCACTGCTTCTTCCGCATTTGAGAGTGCAACTCGCTCTTGAATAAAAGCTCGAAAGGGAGCACAGCCGGTTCCAGGCCCAACGAGAATCAGTGGCACAGAAGGCGAAGGCAAAGCTATGGCACCCTTAGTGAACCAAACAGGTAGGAAAACCTTCCCAATCTTCGGGTCAAGGGAGGCCAGCCACGACGAGCAAAGACCTCTTCGTTTCCTTTTAAACGGAGTCGTCCACTCTACCACAGCCACTGTCAAATGAGCCTCATTCGAATGTGCCAGTTGTGATGATGAAATGGAGAAAGAGCGTTGTTGAAGGCGAGGCACCGTCTGTAGAAGCCATTCGAATGGCATCTGCAAAATAACAAGACTTAATTGTCAATAATCCAGACTAGAGGTACTCGCAGAAGCTGGTTGAGATCGACATGTAACGAAATCAAAGATGAAATGTGCAAGATACATGACCAGAATAAACGAAACACCTTTTGTGAAGTCATTGCGACTATTACTCAAGATCCCGACCCAGAAGAAGAGGATTCCAACTCACTTGAACCGATGGAAAGTCTTCCAATACTTCAAGAACCGTCCGTCCTTCTCTTTGATTGTAACGATATAAATCATCACGGCCTTCAGGAGTCGCAAAATACTGCAGTCTCTCTTTCTCATGCTCAGCAGACGCAAAATGACTCATAACCTCAAAGAAATAACGACGAGGGGAAGCAGAGTCGATGTCCATGAGAGCTTCGACTATTGTCTTCAGTAAGACTGCTGTTGGCTTGCAAACGGTTTCAACATCTTCGGCTTGTGCGATGGTACAAACATCACTGTCATTAGCTTCCACCGTGACAAAAGTGTCTCCATCGAGACCACATCGTTGTAAGAATTTGTCAACAGAAGCTAGTTTTTGGCTTGGTAACAAGGTCAAAATATCCCCGGGTACGTACTGAGCTCCCTGAATATCCAAGTCCCAATTTATTCAGCACAGTCCAGTAAGCAGCATAAACCACAACTGTCGTTAGTGACCAATCTTTAGCGGTCATTTTTTCTAAGGGCGATGGACATGTAAGTGTAAGGTTTTTAGACTGTCAGGAACAACTTGTGATTTGATTCGAATCCGGAACAAAAAGACAAATCAATTACATAGCTGATCCTCTGCAATTCGTGTCAATTCACCTACAAATATACCCATTAACTTAAAAACACACAGAGATGTTGAACTATTACCGAGCTTCCCAAGTCAAGTTCAATGTGCCGAACGTCTTGCTCGTGATCCTCACTGGTAATCCGAGAATTTACTAACATTTTAGCGAATATGGGCATGACTGGGGGGCCAAATCCAGTGCTACTACTGTTGTGGTCCCTTGCGTTTCCAAAAGGGTTTCCAGCACTGTCGACGACAGCACGCGCTCTGCCATGCTCAACCCATCTGTCCAAGTCGCACATTATTTTTTAAAAATAAAAATACAAGATACAAACTAAAAAAAGTGCTTACTTCAAAATGTTAAAAAATAGATTTACCTACATCTCACATCACAGCTGCTTCATCTGCTCCATTTTGGCTCTAGAACGAGAAGCTAAACCAAGACAGATATTGCAGGAACTAGGATACAGACATTCATGATAGAAGAGCCTGGAGTGGCGACATTCGACAATGTACTTGCTGTGACAGGACAATGGATGCACTCACCTTGCCACAATATCCGTCTTTAAACTTTCAGGTAAAGTGGCTAACTTCGACTCTGGCGCCAAAGGATGATGAAAAGTAACCCGATACTTTGGAGGGTCTAAAACACTGATACCTGCATTCCACAAATTCCCTTTCATAATCTGTACTGACGAACAAAAATATTCATCGAGCGGGAAACGATATCGTATCTTACTGCAGAACACCCCAATACATACCCGTGTCTTCGGGTCTAGGATCTTCAAGGCCGGCTGGAAGTGGGACATGGCGGCGTAAAGCAACCCATAGAGACGCCAACCAGGGGTCCAAACCAGCCTCGAAACCTGACGGGTGTTGGTCATCTCCTAACCCCCTGGGCACTACGGACGTCCCGCCCAAATCCAATAACCTCCTATCAAGCTTCTTCCCAATGATGTTATACTTCTGGTACCCAGAATCTCCTAACCCAAACACAGAAAACAGTGTTGATTCCAACCAATGAGGACCAAGGCTCCTGCGAAGCAAAAATTTCCAGAACACCCTCATGGACTCCGGCGGGTCGCCCTGGCCTGTGGTCGACACCACAAAGATGGCAATTTTTTCCTGGGGAAGCTTGCTGGGGTCATACAAGTGCATAGACTCCACTACGGGCTTGAAGTGGTGACGGGCAGCCTCCCGGCCCACGCGTTCGGCAACATCCTGGGCGTTCCCCGTCTGGGTCGCATACAGAACCAGAATCCTCTGCTTCTCTACCATCTCTGAGACGCCTCCCAATTCTCTCACAGCCTCTACAGCAAAACCCTTGCACTCACACTCGCGATGTTTCCCTCACCGCCCTCTGCGGAATTGAACCTCCCACCCCTTCACATCCCCACATTTACTCGAGAAACCCTACAGATAACAAACAAATCCTGGTCTGCAAGGCCCAGACCACAACTCCGCGTTCAATCACGCACGGAAAACCTCAAAGCAAGCCAGAGCATGCAATCTACGGAGTCGCTGCTCGGTTCTGCAGCCAAAAACTTAGCACGCCCCACAACTTGCACACAGTTACCGTGCCAAGATGGAAGCACATCGTGACTCGTCACGCTGCCTCGAGGCGTAAACAATCCACAAGCCTTGCGTGCGTGCATGCATCCTCGGAGTCCAACGCCTAGCAGCCCCCGAAATTGGACGGGACCGGGTCCCGGACCTGTCCATGGAACCGGACGGTTGATTTGCCTCGCCCCACCCGGGCACTATTCGTTGCTGACGGGGCGCTGACAAGGCCGTGTAGAAGTTGTTGAATTGTGGAGCATGTCTAAAGTAGCAAAAATAGGCGCTAATTGCTTAAAAAAAATAATTTCAAAAGATTCTTCGCTTACGAAAAGGAAAAAATATCAATTTTATAGAAGAATATTTTCAAAGGAGAAAGTGAAGCTAACCCCGAAAGTCGTGCTAAACGAGAGTTGTCCAACTGCAAACGAATTTGAAGACATGAAATTAAGGCTCCAAGGACAGAAATGGCAATATACGGTGACTGTAAAGTTGGGGGGGGGGGGGGGGTCTCCCAGGCACACGCCGCCCTTGCCTTAGCACAAGCCTCTACCTCACTTCCGCCCGGCCGTCTATTCTTGCCAACGTGGACGTATATACCAACCCGACATGCAGTACGTACTTTTATATGAATTAGTGTACCATACGGTACAATAATAATTCATAAGCTCCAGAAGTCCCACCATCGAGGTCCTTTTGTAACCACATTACTCTACCACTTCGTCACAAGGTTCAGTGATTAGTTTAGACTAAGAATAGGGTAACTGATGGGCTTATGTAGATACTAGCTGAAACACAACTAATTAGAATAAAATGCATAAATTTTACACAGAAAGTTCTTCCAAATGTTTCTACCTTTACTTCTAGTACACACTTACATTGCTGAGAACAACAAAAATAAATTACACATTTGAACATAACTCTTATATATGTATTCTTACAAAGTATACTCACATATAAAAAAAAGTTTTAAACTATTGTACAACCTTTTTATTTATTTCTTTGAAATTACACTTAAGATATGTTATTTTAACAGTCATACCATGTTAATACATATTAGGTTAATTTAGTTTAATTTATGTATTAACATAGTATGACTATTAAATTTTAATTTAATTTAAGGCATAATATGTTTATAGTCATATTTTATTATTAATATGTTTCAAAAAATAAATTTAATGCAACTAATATATATTAATACACTTCAATTTATAAAAATCTCCTAATTAAATCTATTTCATATATAATAAAAAATAAAAAAATCCTTATTCATGCAAAAAAGATTCCTTTTTTTATGCATGCAAAAGTTCTCTCTTACATCAAAAGTTCACATTTAGTAAATTTATTCTTTAATTTAAGTCTTTAAAAACTTTAGTCAACTTACACATATCACATGGACTTATAAAAAAAAAAAATCTTCTTAGCATTATTTTTATAGTGGCTTATATAATAGATGTAACCAACATATTAAAGGTAGTGGTGTTTGTGAATGTGTTTATTCATTTTACCAAAAGCCATATATCTATTTATCTAGTCACCTTTGCATTCATTAATATGGCAATTTTTTAAGGATGATAATTATTTAAAACTCCAATACTTGATTATATCTTATTACTCAAGTCTTTTCAATAAAGTTGTGAAAAGGGCATCTACTACAAATGTCTACAACCTTACTACTCTCAATATCAATATTCATTAACAACCACAAAACTTTATAATCATTCCAACATAAATCTTCAAATTCTATAATCAGCTATTATTTGTGAATATATATATATATATATATATATATATATATATATATATGGTTACAAATGTAAAAATATATTGTAATTCTTTCTATCTTTGCCTTCTTATATCCATACTAAAAATATCATCCATATTTATACTCAAATCATAACAAGACATCTACAATCTTACAAATCCACTTTTCAAAAATTATAATTTTAATTAATATAAATCACAAAAAACCATCTAAATAACTTGTTTATTTTGGTTATTTAGTTATTTTTTTATTTATTTTACACAACCATCATATTATAAAATTTAATGATTGTAATTATTCTTATTTTTTTAATTATAATTCATAATATTCTATTTAAGATTTGATAAAGTATTAATATGAAACATGTTGCAAATAAGTAGACCAAATAAAACATGTCTTATATAAGCAATCAATAGTGTATTAGCTCTCTTATGTTGTCTGCCACCAATTTTCTTGCTAATGTGCAAAAAACTTCATATACAACAATAACAATAGTTGTCTACATTGATTGGTTTTTATTTGCTACATTCTTATGTAGTTATCCAATAACAACAAAAGAAATAATTTTTAATCTTAATAACATCTAGTTTTTTTTACTATGATCTTCAAATAAAGTATGTAAAGTTCTAATAATGCATGGTTTTTAATGATGCTAATTGCAAAAGTTATAAGACTACAAATAACACAACTGTTGTAACAAATTATTTTTTGACTATGAAGATATAATTTTATTTAAATTTCTTTATACAAAGATGCTGATGAATATTTTATAAAAATATAAAATTTATTTATATAAATTTTAAATTTATATGAAGAAATATGTAAAGATATATAAAACATCAAAAATACATGTTGATTTTCATTGGTATACATTATAAGAAAAGATTAAAGATTTATAACATGAGAATTTTTTAACAAATATAAAAAAATTATCAAATTATAAAAAAATCTTAATAAAAAAATCATAAATATTGCTCTTTTTAATTTCAATACTATTGATTCTATCAAAAAAAATTGATGAAATTTTAATCAAAGACAACTATCATAGGTTCAAATATACCAAATTTTAATGTGAAGTTTTAAATAAAATTTATTGAAGTAAACATAAGGTCCCAAAAATTACACTACTTCAAAAGAAAAAAGAAGAAAATTTATAATTTTAAATACTACAACTTAAAATAATTCAATTAATTAAAAATTATGTTTTTAAAATAAAAAATACCATAAATTTATAGTACACACTAAAGCTTAAGTTTTACATTACTCTTCTATTGTTTTATCTTAGTGGCAAATTCTTTAGTAGACTAGATTATCTTTATAGAAGTTAGTTAAGTAACAAAGACATGAATCTCAAACAAATAAAAACTCAAGACATTCTTGTATTATTCAAAAAGAGTAGATATATACTCAAATATAATATGGTATTGAAACTAAAATAACTAATAATAAGGAAAAGAAGATTAAAAATTCTTAAAATAAGATCAAGGACTAAAAAGACATTGACAAGATTGAAGAAAGCTTCATTCTTGCCTCCATATATACTATCTAATTAGGAGCTACATTGTCCTCTCACATGAAGTCTACTTAAAAATATACTAGACACCTCATTGTGGAAAGAAAAATGGAACTTGCAATAAAATGGTTTTAACAACTTTAATAGAATCCTAAATAAATTTTAATTAAATTATAACAATATTAATAAATTTTTAATTAAATTCAAAAGAAGTCTCAAAAACTTATAAAAGAATATAAAGAAATCATAAATTAATCTTAATGAAATATATACAATAATTATTTTTTAACTAAATATCAAAAATAAAACTCTTAATTGAATCCTAATCAAATTCTAATATAACTTTCAAAAAATCCTAATAAAACTTTCAACTCATCCTAATTTATATAAATATTTAAGTCTTAATTACTCTCACAAAATTAACTTCAATCTAACTAGCAAATATTGCTAGATCCTTGAATTATTTATTGATTTTAAATCTCAAATTTTTGAGACCATAATCCAAAAAAACCTTCATATGTTTCAATCTAATTATTTGATTGACCTTAAATATTTTCACACACATTTATAACAAGCACAATAACAAACTGCCTAATTTCTATTCAAACACATGCTATAAAACTCATAAAATCCTAAAATTTGTAAACCTATTTATGTTTCTTAAAATCTAAATCTATCAAATATATTATGAATTTTAATAATCCTTCAAAATATCAATATTAATCAAAATGACATGAAATCAATATTCAAAAATCTTTCCTCTAGTCTGCTCTTAAATCTCATTTTTTAATTTACAAAAGAATCCTTATTGTTGTTGAGGGTCTTCATCTCTATAATGTCATCTTAAAAGTTATTACAATTGCAATGTTTCACGTGATATTTCAACAAATAGAAATTCTTGAGTTAAATTTGTTGGTTGTTAATTCTTCATTTCTTTAAAGACACAAATATACAAAAACTACAAACAATGATAGATAATAGAATGTATTTTTTTTTTAATCTTGTTTTTTTGTAATAAAAATCGTTATTCTTTATTTTTATTTTGATAGATATTATTGATAAAAAGCATAAATCTTCTTTACTATATTTACAATATTCTTTGTTGGCTTTTATGTCATTTTATTAATATCATATTTGAATCAATAAATAAGATATTCTAACATATTTTGGAGTTGCTTCAAGTCTAAGACTTCTTTGACATCATATTCTTGATTATTGTCCACTTCTAAAGAAAGTAATGGTATTTATTTTTTTTCTAATAGATGTTTTGTCTTGTATTTTTTAAAAAGAAACTCATGAAATACGGAATGGATCTTCATATACTTTGATAGATGTAATTAATAAGCAAATAAAATGATTTTTTTTACATATATAAAATTGTCGAAGTCTACAATAATCTAACTTGCCACAAGACCAAATAGTCTTGATATTATAAAGAAGTAACCATATCTTGTCATCAATGTAGAATTGAATTTTTTCTTTGTAATAGACATCTGCATTGATCTTTTGTTGTTTTTGAGATTCTTTTAATTATGCATCCTTATTATATATAGCTTAAATAAATAATTTGCTAAATATTCTGTTGTAACATTATCAACTTTTAAAAAGTCAAAAGTATTAAATTGTGAATAATAACCATAATTGACAAATAAAGATTTTTATTGAATAGAAGAATGTATTATATTATTATTAAAAAACTCTATCAATGGCAAAAAAGTTATCCAATAATCTTATTGGTAGTTGATGGTACACTTCAAATACTACTTCAAAACTTCATTCACTTGCTCTGTTTGTCTAATAATTTAAGAATAAAAAGTCAAAGATAGTTTTATAT